GTGCCGAAGGCTGCCAAGTGACCCGGCCCCACTGCAGCAGGAGGGGGGGTACCCCCTGCCCGCACACGCCGGGTGAGGGGTGTAGAAATATTTACTCTCTCTGCCTCTCCTTCTGCAGGTGTGCTTCGTCGGCCGAAGCAATGTGGGGAAATCATCTTTAATCCGTGCTTTGTTTTCACTGTCTCCAGAAGTGGAGGTCAGAGTGTCAAAAACTCCAGTAAGTGATGTTTTTAACTGCCCTCCCTCTTGGTCGGAAGATGGTGCCAACCCAGAGGACAGGGCTGAGAAGGGCAGGCGGGAAACAAGCTCTTGGGTGACTGGAGGGGGCAGGAGAGCGTGCCAGCCATGGGAGCCGGCTGGCGCAGGCCTTGCTCTAGCAAAGGAAAGGGTGGAAAGAGCCCAGCTTGGCTCTTCAGCTACGGCCGGCACATGTGCTGGACAGGAGGGTTGTGTAAAGTGAGCGGACGTGATGTAAAGCCCTTTGGGAAGAACCAAGCACAAGGACCCATGAAGGTATTTTTAGTCTGTTTTAATGATAGAGCCACACAAGAGTTGCTACAAGGGTAGGAGACTGGGCAGCTTAAAGCACAGTAGCACCTTTGCAGCCTTCTCGGGTATGGTACTGACATGTTTTGTGGGGCATCTCCTAGTCCACTGCTTAAAACAACTTTTTACCACCCCACTTCATCTTAGGTTTTGTTTTGTTTTTAAAATGCTCTCCCCAGGGCCACACCAAGAAGATGAATTTCTTCAAAGTAGGGAAGTACTTCACTCTGGTGGATATGCCAGGGTACGGCTACCGTGCCCCGCAGGACTTTGTGGAGATGGTGGAGGCCTATCTGCAGGAACGGCACAAGTAAGGGACTCAACTGTACCTCCACAGAGTGATGAAAGCTGGCCACCTTTATACAGTGTCATGTAACTAGGTGAAAACATGTGGGAGAGGTAGCTCCTTCCAGTGGCAGTATTGATTAGTTCTGAAGTAGTTTTCCAGGGAACCTCTGTGGTGTCACTCATTCATGCTTACACAGATCAAAACAACAGAAAAGACTGAGGTGCAGCTCCACGCATGGCTTTTCTTGGCTCTTCCCACATCCTGTGTTGCTTGTTCTTGATTATGAATTTGGAAGTAGCAGAGGAGGCATGAAATAACGGTCGGGATTATTGTCGCTTGTATTTCTGGCAGCTTGAAGAGGACTTTTCTATTAGTTGACGGTGTAGTAGGACTCCAGAAAACAGATCATATTGCAGTAGAGATGCTAGAAGAGTTTGGGATTCCTTATGTGGTAGGTAACGCTTTGTTCTTGTGTCGGTTATAAACTACAGATAATCTATAAAGGTGTGCACCCTCTACCTGAGCTTATGCAAGTTATGCTACCTAAATAGTACCCTCCCTTTATTTAAAATAGGCCTAAAATGTGTTGAGGGGGGCAAGTGGGATTTAAGGGATTTTTTTCTTGATTTATGAAACGGACACTTTTTTTTTTTCAGTGCTCAGCTTGAGAAGCTTGAAAAGGTCCGCTCCTTATGCAGGCTGTAGAAGGGTTTTGGTATTACACCATTTTTCCCCCTAGATATGACCCAGGTCTTTTTAGCCTGCCTTGCAAGATGGCCCAGGACTCTTACAGATGTTCCAGGGTAGCAGCAAATAGCAGTAATATTTTCTTCTTTCAATCTTCTCTCTCTGGATCTGTGCAGATGGTGTTAACAAAAATCGACCGAGCTGCCAGGGGGCTGTTGTTAAAGAATGTACTGGAGATCCAGGAGTTTGTAAAGGAGAAAACTCAGGGATGCTTTCCTCAGCTGTTCCTGGTCAGGTAAAGCTCTTCTCCATTGCTGCTGTTTCCTTTCAGGTGATGATTTCAATAGGGCAAACTACCTGAAACGGGTCGGTCTGCTCCAGAGACTTTGGTGTGCCCCAAGGACGGAGGGTGGGCTGCTGGTGGGGAAACACCCTTTTCCTTCTTCCCCCTCCTCTGCAAGCGAGTGGAGTTCAGGTCTCAAGGCTGCTTCTTCCTTTGGCCTTTCTCCGAGGGGGGCAGCAGCCCCTGTGCTGCATCCTAGTGGGCTCTGCCATTTTGTTTGGAGTCGTGTCAACAAGTAGCAAGCTGTAAGTGCTTAATTTACCAAGGCTGTACTGCACTGTGGGAGTGGGAATTTAATACAGCCATGGCCGAGTTTGCTTGTATTTCTCCAAGACACAGGAGCATCCGGCACTGAACATCCACACCTTTGTTTCCACAGTTCTCTGGAGTTTTCAGGGGTTCACTTGCTAAGGTGTTTTGTAGCCCATGTTACTGGAAACCTGCCTATTGTAGAGGCCAGCTGAAAATTCGGGATCCTGATCTGCTTGGCTCATCCAGAACAAAAGGTACCAAAACCAGAAGTCTGAATTTTTGCTGTAAATAACCCAAGGTATAGAATTTGGTTTTGGATAAATTTGTGTAAATTTTTTGATAAATTAATATTTAATAAATTCATCGATTCAGGAAGTTTGCACTAGTTTCAATACAGCATTTCCTCTCCCTCCAGCTGAATGCTCAAAAAGCTACCACTCTATGCCCAAGCTCTGCTATTTTTAGGATGCTAGAGACAGTCTTGTAATCTCATGAATAGAAAGGCATTTAGTTAAGAAAAAGGAAAAAACTATAGCCCTAACATTACACAAACTACTTGCCCAGTTGAACCATAACACAGAGGTTTACTTCTCTCAGCTTACGTAGCGGGGGCCAAAAACCTAGCACCTGTGCAACCTGCCTGTGCTAAGGCGAGCTAGAGTGGAAACAGCCAACGTGTTGTGTGTGAGGGTGTGTTGAGGAATTCTCGCCTGCGTTACTTTTGTAACTCCTCTGCCTTCTGCATTCAATAGGTGCAGCGTGATAGCAAGCCTCGCGTGCATACATCGAGTTGTCCCTGTTCGGGTGGATGAAGGAAAGGACACATCTTTAATGGGATCTGCTTTCTGATCACTGTTGGCTTGAAACAGAGTGGAATAAATGACTGACACTAGGGGAACTCTCTTCTTCTGCACTTATTATCAGTCAGTGCTGCATCCACCTTCTGTTTTAAATCCAGCACGAAGTTCTGCAGCTGCCCTCGGATGAATTGCCAGAGGTGAGACACAGCGTCCATTGTCTGCATCTGTTCTGCCCTGGCAGCTGAAGCACAGTACTGGTGTCCCGTACTCTTTCGGGGCACGGTGGCAGCTCACAGAACTCTGTCCCACAGCAGCTGTGTCTGGCTGAGAGCACCTGAAGCTGTCCCGTTACAAGGTGCAGAATCGGACGAAAGGACTTGCCATTGCAACAGCAGTAGTTGTACAGGAGAACTTCGACCACAGCTCTTAAGGGCCTATGTCAGAGTCTGGCACTCAGTCATGCCGTGGCTTAATATTGCCAAATGTGGGTATGCAGTTGTCAAAGTTACTTCCATTAAGTGTTTAAACCTCAAGAAAAAGCAGTGCTTTTGTAAAGAAGGTGGTATCTATAGTGTTTTCTCTCATTACGGAATTTCTGGTAACTCTCAGACTAGACATGAGGTGAGGTCTGTTTTCAGGATACATGTAAGAAGGAGGGGGCATGAGGAATGCAGTACAAAGATGTGGATCTCTAGCTTCCACATCTTAGCAGTAATTCTCTAATTCTCTTAATATTTTACTTCTAATCCCAAAATGCTCGAGAGCAAAGCAGCCCGTGGATGCTTGATCCTAGGGGGGAAGTGCAGTAGTATCTAGACAGATGGAACGGGTGCAAGTGGACACTTACGGAATAGTTTTTCTTAGTATTTTAAAACCAGGGTCTTCCAGGTGCATTCATCATGACAAGGCTGTCATTTTCAAGGCCTCAGCCTTGACTGAAGAGCTTTTGAAAATAAAATAGCAGTTCTGTTTTTAGTCAGTTTGTTACGCTCAGAATCGGTGCCCCTGTGACAGGTAAGGTAGTAAATAAAGTCAAGTCCTCTCCTTCACTTCAACTTTCAAACTTACATTTAAGTGCCTTTGAGGGAACATGCTTTGGGTAAAAAGGTGTCTGATGCACTACCAGACTTTCTTGCCAAGTTCTTAAGGAATGTGCAGCGTTGCTGTGAGGAACTACACTTTCTCAGGCCAGGGACACAAAAGTTCTCCCTTTTCCCCCCCAGTCATTGATCAGTGGGGGGCCTAGCAGCATACTGGAGCAGTAGAGATCATTTCAGTTTTCGGGGCCAGGGACACAAAAGTTCTCCCTTTTTTTTTCCCCCCACTCATTGATCAGTGGGGGGCCTAGCAGCGTACTGGAGCAGTAGAGATCATTTCAGTTTTCGGTGCTTTTGATGTCCTAAATTGTTTGCGTTGTATGCACCACGCTGCAGACACCCAACATTGCCTTGTAAAGCTTTACCTCTTCTGCACCTGTCATTTACAGAAATGATTCACGCTGCAGACACCCAACATTGCCTTGTAAGCTTTGCCTCTTCTGCACCTGTCATTTACAGAAATGATGCTGAGTACAGGCTTCTATGGAAAAGGATTTTACCTTGTGCTTCTCTCTGGTCTTTCAGCAGCACTTTCTCCTTTCTCTTCCTCTACTGCTGGTCTAGTCTGTCACCATAACCCTGGCACTACAAAGCCAGTGTTTTGACCATATTCTTGCAGCAGTTCTGTAGAGTCACTATAATGTAGAATGCATTTTAGTAGAGACCTTGACCAGATACTGCATCAATAATTCTATTAATATTAACAAAGTAACCTAAACGGGTGTCTTGGGTTATTTAAGAAGCGGGGTGGAGGTTTGCAGGTAGATATTTCAGATTTAGCCTCCCTGAGGCATTTACACAGAGAGGTGATGTGCACTAAGGCAGAAAGAGCTCTGGTTTACTGTCACCTTGCAGGTTGTTCCAGTGTTGCCTTCTTTCACTATCTTGTCTAAACTCTTGCTCCTTGGGCTCAGCATTGGTTTCAGACTCTGCTCAGAATTACAGTGTATTACAGTAGGAGCTCTCTGGTACAGTATGAAACAAATTTTGGGTGCCAAACAAAACACGCCAAGTGTTGAATATAGACAATGCATTCTGCATTAAGTGGCGTGGCTGCCCGTGAGAAGCAAGATACTGTTACCTTAACTATCAAAGTTCCTGGCAAGAGAGGAAACAAATTTTAGCAGCAGCTCATGTTTCCAGTCTGTATCACCAGCTAATCCTACTCACAGTACCTGCTTATCCCAGCTATAACATGATACTCTATTTTATAGAGAAATTGTAGCTGTTTCTGTGCAAGCAGGGACAAACCCAAGGAGATGTACGGCTTCTTATGTCACTCCCCTGCTTTAAGTGTTTTGGAAACAGAGTAAGACCAGAACCCATTTACAGAAGAGGCAGAGGAGGGAGGAATAAGTTGTGCTTTTGTCCCATGCTACAAACAGGACACAAGATGAGAGGAACGGAACAGAACTAAGAACAAGCAAACTGATCTTACATTACATCCCAAAATAAAAATGTAAGTTAATAAATTGAGAGGCTGTCAGAGTTGAATTATTAAAAGAAGTCATCCTTGTGGAATTAACCAAAAGGTTTTATTAAAAAATGATTAAACAATGATTAGACAGTGGTCAAACACTCTACTACTTAACTACACTTCTAGTAATTAAGCTAGCATGTGTACAATATGCTGTAATCTAACATAAAATGTCGTTTACCTCGCTGGAGGTATTGGATGCCAGGTAAGGGATCTCTCGACCTCAAGGACTATCTTTGAGAGGCATCAAGGGGAGATCACTGCTGTGCAAGGGAGCTCAATGGGCTGTGGTGGCTGCAGGTACTTATGGCGTAAAGTGGTTGACTTGTAGTCAAACTCCCCTTTGGTGTACGTGTACCTGTACAACCCCAGCAGCTGTAGTTTCGTCTGGTCCCAGCTCAGGCTGGTACTGGTAGCTCTTGATAAACCATGACCTAAATTCCTTAAGTTCCTCAGAAGATATGGCCTGGCACAATTTCTCAAGGTCTACAACAGGGCTGATTTCACTTGGGCCTACTTGTTGGTGATGCCTGAACCAAAGTACTGTCAATTCAGAGTGGCTGCACCCATCACAGAGGTGTGACTTACCCCTACAGCCCTCTGTGTAAGAAGCCACCCTCTCCACAATACACCTTAGCCAGTCCCGTAGCTTCCTTTTATTCTCATCTGATGCATTCCCAGCCAGTCTGGATCTAAAAACACCACCACCAGACAGTAAAGTAAGCATCCCTTCCTTTCCTACACAAGTGATTTTAATACTGGGCTTGGTGACTGCAATTTGATCTGCTCCTAAGAACTAGCCACAGCATTAAGCCTGCATGCACAGATTTATTTTAACACTGATTTAACACTGTCCAAGCACTTGTTAAATACTTGATCTCTAACTACTTATAAGCATCTCTTATATAAGCACAGAAAACTGTTTTGCTCAATAAGGTAACTATTGAGCAGCTATCAACTGTTTAGGTAAATAAACAACAGACTTTTTCAGAGAAGGTAGTTCACGTTTTTGTGTTCTACAATGGTATTTGAACACCTTGTGGCACATTTACAAAGTTTATACAAGACAATGTATGTACCACTTGCACAGAAATAGCTGCTTAAACCAGTAGTTTCTTTGAAAAACATTGAGAATGATGGAAAACATATTATGCCAGTAAGTAGTAAGGTGCCGGGGGGGGAAGAGGGTGGGGAATAAATCTTAGCACTATTGCTGCTAACGCTGTTCCCCCATAACTTATTCTCCATTGGTTCTTGTGTGATGAATGCAGCACTGCTGGACTGTTGCCCTTGCCCCTGGTGCAAGTGCAGAACATGATGTCTTGGGATGGCACCAGCCCTGAGCTCCCTCAGGAAAGGCTGTTTAGACTCAGACACCAGAAGGCACTGTACTCATTCATTCCTTGGGATCCTTCAGTGCTTCATCAAGACTCTCTCTGGCTCTATTCTCCAGCATGTTCTTGTTTCTCTAGTGGCTGCACCTCAGCTGCACTCTTCCTCCTTCCTCTTCAGCTTCCTAGCAAAAAAACATCATTCAAATTTAACTTAGCAAGGCATTTATTGCACTAGAAGGGTGAGCCTCCTACTGGAGACAATGGACTTTTCTTTGTACGGAAAAATTTCTTTGAAACAAAACTTTTTCTTAAGGCAAAACCTGATGAAAGCACAAGAAACTTGTATTTCTCAAGCATCAGCAAAACTAGCTTAACTATTCACAACAATTTATGAAGGATGTAAGCTACAAAACAGGGCAAAACAAATGCACTCAGACTGAGGCCCGTGTCGATTCCATGGGACTCCAGAACCACAGCTGCCTTTGTGCTCAAAAACAATAAAACCATTGCACTCATATTTAGAGATTCCTTTTCTTCTGAAAAAAACAGGTGGTGCAGGAAACCTAGTATTCAGAAATTCTAGGTGGAAAAAACAAAATAAGGAACAATACCAGCAAACCTT